GGGGGAAAAAAAATGCCATGAATTGAAGACAAGAGATTTTTTTTTGATGTTCTTTTCAGTGAGCTTCCTGGTTGTTCAAGCTTATCATAAATAACTTGCTCAAAGAGCTATCCCCACCACCCAGGGAACCTTGACCCTGGAATCCTCAGCTGGGAGAAGTGGGGATTCAGCTAGAGAGACTCTTGGGTACCCCCCCCCCCAAAAAAAAACAAAGCAAGCAAGCCTGGCTGGTTAGCTCAGTTGGTAGAGTGTGGTGCTGATAACACCAAAGTCAAGGGTTCAGATCCCTGTGCCAGCTGCCCAGAAAAAAAAAAAACCCAGGAAGCAAGGGGAAAAATCTCGGTTTAGAAGCAGAGCCAAAAAGGGGTGGGGCAGGAAAAAACTGCCAGAAAGCAGTTTGTGTAATCCTCACTCCTCCCCTTCCCCTGCCCGGCTCAAGTTCAGCCCCTACCAGGAAATGAATGGAGGTGTGGACTTCCCCATGGTTGTTTCCCCGCCCCCACTGCAGGCAGGTATAAGGTTACCTCCCCAGGCCCAGGGAACCGAGAAGGAAAAGAGAAGGGCCACCATGTCCTCTTGGAACGGAGCACAAAACCAGAGGTAGGTTCCTACCCCATCCATCGTGGGCAGGCCTAGACACCAGGCCATACAGGGACACATGGACATTTCATCTGACCCACTGAACTCACAGGGGGCAGATACAGATCTGCAGGCTGGACCAGACCAACTGTAGCCATGAACAGACAGGCTCCCTCCCACCCGCACACACACACACACACACACACACACCTGCAGAAGCCCAGGTGGGCTGCATGGCCAGGCAGGGAGTGGGTAGAGGCTCCTTGTCAGAGGCCTGGGGCTACAGTGACCAAGGCTGTGCAGGTGATCTCTAATGCTGCTGGGACGGGGATGCCCTGGAGGAGGAGGAGAAGCCCCAGGCCACCAAGTGTTATGGTGCCAACTGTAAACCACCTCTTTCCAAGACCGAATGCCCAGACCTGCCCAAAGCAGAACATACTTTTCATGTTCAGAGTCTCCTGTTTGCAGCTGGAGCCCTGGGTTGCACCCAAGCACTTGGACGGAGCTGGACACAGATAACCTAACCCTGTTTGGTCAGGGCTGGGCAGAAAGAGGAGGAGCCCAGAGCGGGGACTGAGAGCTCTCCTTGGGACAGGCAGAGCCGGCTTCATGGAAAGGGGGACATTGACGCTAGGGCTTTGCGGGATGAGTAAGAGTTCGTTGGCTCTGCCTTCAAAACACAGGAGCCAGGGAGACAAGAATGGACCCAGAACACAAGCCAGATCAGAAGAAACTAGCAAGATGGACTGAGAACGATTAACAGCCCATTGGGGCTGGGCTGGTGATGGGGAAGGGTAGTATATGGAGCTCAGACTCAGAAACTCAAGTTTCATAGAATCAGAATCCTCCCTGGGAAAGGGGCCACTTCTGGCAGCTGTCGGGGGTGGGAGTGGGTTGAGGGAGGAAGGCAGGAGAGGAAGAGGAAGTGACTGCCCAGTCCAGGGTGGTGGCAGTGGGACGAAGGGGCAGATTGTGGGTCCCATTCTCACTCTGGTTATGAAGCACCTTCTGTTATTGCTGGGGCCTTGACCCCATCTTTCTAGAACCCTGTTCCTGCTGCTGCTGCTATTTGTGGCTTCGTCCCAGGGGGCCACCCCAAGCCTCAAAGGCTGCCTGGTGTCCCAGTCAGACAATGGCAGTTCCATCTCCTGCCACCCGCCTGCCAGAGTGCCCCAATACCTCCCAGCTGACACCATCTTCCTGGCTGTGGAGTTCTTCAACCTGACCCAGCTGCCAGCAGACACACTGCACGGCGCCCCTCATCTCCAGGAACTGCACCTCTCCAGCAACCGGCTGGACAACCTCTCAGCTGAGTTCCTGCTGCCGGTGCCGCAACTGAAGGTGCTTGATCTCACCCGCAACGCCCTCACCAGGCTGCCCCCGGGCCTCTTCCAGGCCTCGGCATCCCTTGACACCCTGGTGTTGAAGGAAAATCGCCTGGAAGTCCTGGAGGTCTTGTGGCTGCAAGGCCTGAAAGCACTCAGGTTTCTGGACCTGTCCGGGAACCGCCTCCGGACACTGCCCCCTGGACTGCTGGCCAACCTCACGGTCCTACGCACCCTTGACCTTGGGGAAAACCAGCTGAAGACCCTGCCGCCTGACCTTCTGAGGGGCCCGCTGCATTTGGAACGGCTGCATCTAGAGGGCAACAGGTTGCAGGAGCTTGCAGAGGGCCTGCTGGCACCCCAGCCGGGCCTGCGCTATCTTTTCCTCAACAACAACAAGCTGGCTGTGGTGGCAGCTGGCGCCTTTCAAGGCCTGAGGCAGCTGGACATGCTGGACCTCTCCAATAACTTCCTGACCAGTGTGCCTGAGGGGCTCTGGGCATCCCTAGGGCAGCCAACCCGGGACATGAAGGACGGCTTTGACATCTCCGGTAACCCCTGGACCTGTGATCAGAATCTGCACGACCTCTATCACTGGCTTGTGGCCAATGAAGACAAGATGTTCTCTGGGAATGACACACGCTGTGCTAGTCCTAAAGCCCTGAAGGGCCAGACGCTCCTAGCAGTGGCCAGGTCCCTGTGAGGCCTGGGGCTGGGGTGGGGGTGGGGGGTGGAGCCTGGAAGAACACTGCACCCCACTTAGCAAATAATCTCACTGTTGCTGGGACTCATTTTGGCCAGGTTCCCCAAAATGCACTGTGGGCTTTCCAGCCTCCTAACCTTGGTCCCAGCTGTTCCCACTTCCTGGAATGCCTTTTCCCCATTCCCAAGATGTCTCTGTCTCTGGGCTCCCCCACATTCCCAGGACCCTCCCTCTGGCCAAGCCCTGGCTACAATGGGTTTGTCTTTATCTGGTTTCGTCTTCCCCAGTTTGAGGGGCTCTGAGTGCAGGGCCTGGGACCGAGTCTCTTCTTATGCAACATGGCTCAGCTTGGGGGCAGACCTGAAGTGTTAAATAAATAACCGTTACAAGAGGAATTGGATGAACTGGCATTCATTGTGTTCTTTGTGTCTCCCAAGTTGCTTTCGCAGATCTCCAGGATGAAGGAGTTTCCAAGGAAAGGAGAGGCATGCCTGGGGTCTGGGGTGTGGGACATGAGCCCCATAATGGATGGCAATTGGGATCAATGGCCCATGGCTTGTCCTCCCTCCCCCTATCTTGGAACTTAACTGGAAATAAAACCCTGACCATTGCCCAGGTGTCATTTTACTGGTGGGTTTCTGCCAGAACTTGTGTCCTGGGCAAGGTTTAAGTTAAACCAGATTACCCAGGTCTCCAAACAATTTGTCATGCTGACTGACCTGTGATAACCCAACGGGGCCCCTAACCAGGGCAAGCTTGAAGGGGCTGGATGGGGCTGGGGGAACAGGCGGGGTCCAGAGCGCTGTGTTCTTATGACTCGGTTTATGGGGCCACCTGCCGACGTAGTGGTGGGCTTGTGGGAACTGGGGTGTTGTGACATATCCAGTTTTCTCAGTCCCCTGGAAGGCATCGTGATGAAAGGCAGGGGTCTGGAGTCTAGCGGATCTGGGTTTGAACAGGAGCCCTTACTCGCTGTGGGAACCAGGGCAAGTGGCTTAAGTTTTCTGAGTTTCCTCAGTTTGTTTATCTGTAAAATGGGGATCTGAGAAAAGGCTGGCCTGGCTCCTGACTTCGTTAAGTGGCAGATTAAACAAACAAACAAACAAACAAAAACTACCAGCCAGCTGCCAAAAAACAGAGAAACAAAAAAGCCTGCCCAGTTCGCTCAGTTGGTTAAGGCGCATCGTTGCTAATACTGAGGTCAAGGGTTCGGATCCCAGTACTGGCCAGCCGCAAAAAAACCAGAAAGTCATTGAGGACTTGTCCAAGGTCACTCGGCAAGGCAGTGGGAGCTGTGATCGCCCTCCAGTGTCTGGCGGCAACAGCAATGAGGCTGACAGGTGACCAAACGTGGCCAATGAAAGTAGCTCAATACTTGGCATCCAGCGTCCCCGGGTTGCTATGGCAAAAGCAGAGTGCGGCCAAGGGGAGGGCGGGACGAGCCTGGAGCCCCGCCCCGTGGACACGCCCTCTCACAGCCTCTCCCCATTGGTCTGTCCCCAGAGGCTCCGCCCCCCGAGCTGCTATAAGGCGGGCGGGGCGGGCGGGGGCGGAGACTTGAGCCAGAGTCTGGGGTCCGCGGAGGCAGCGGGGGTCTGAGGCTGCGGGCGTCCAGGTGAGTGCGCGAGCGCCCCCAGGCTCGGGGTAGGAGGCCGGATCGGTGGTTGGGCGAGGGTTCCGGCCGCCTGGGAGAGTATGATGGGCCGGAACAGGTGGCTGAGACCCTTGACCCAATTGGCCAGAGCTCAGGACCCTGTTGGGCAGGGACCAGGGCTGAGAGGGCTCGGGTAGCGATAGAAGTGGGGGAAGGAGGCAAGTCAGAGGCCTGAGGTCGAGCTCCCCGCTCTGACTCTGGCTAGCTGAGTGACCTTGGGCCCAGCATGGACCTGTTGCGTGCCTCAGTTGCCCTGTCAAACGGACTGTGGGTTAATTGGGATTCTGCAGCTACCACCTCCACCCCTGCAGGGGGCTGCTTATGCAGTTCTGTCAGCGCAGGGGCAGCAGGGACCTTCCTCATTTTATAGAAAAGGAAACCGCCCAGAGAGGTGAAGACACTTGCCCAAAGCCACACAGCAAATAATGGCAGGATTTGAACCCAGTGTTTCTCACACCAGAGCCCACGCTTTGAATCACTACAGTACCCCCACCTTGTCATAGGCTCTTTATTCTGCACCTACTGTTTGCAGAGCCCTGTGCCTGCATTTGTCTGTGCCCTGAACAATACCTCATTTTACGGATGAGGAAACTGAGGCCCCAGGAGGGAACTAGACTTGTCCAAGTCACAAAGCCCAGCTGGACAGGTCCCAGGGCCTGGGAAAGAGCAGGGAGGGCTGCCATGCAGGGGACCCCCTCACTCTGTCCTGCTCCCCAGGGTGACCCTGTTTGGAGCAGACATGTCTGAAGATGAGGCAGGTCAGGCCCCCAGACCCAGCTTGTGGGACCAGGACCAGCAGGTGAGGAGCTGCTCCTTCCCATGGAGTAGGGGCACAGGGAAGGGTGGGGATACTCCCTTCTGGGACAGTTTCAGGCCAGGTATCCCCTCTCATCCAATCCTTGCTGGGAAACTGAGAACATTTTAGACCATGGAGGGAGCTGTTCCATTCTGCCCATTCCCTAGAGAGGGCTTAATGAGGACCTGGGAGGAGGACTTCTCTCCAAGGATATCCAGTCGGCTTACCTGGCTCCTGCCCCACTCTCTCCCTTTTCTATCTGAATCTCCACCTGTATCTCTGTGCCCACCACCACAGCACCTTTCATAACAACAATAATGGTAATAGCCCAAGCGTTTCACATATATTGGCTCCTTGAATACCCCAGTGCAACCCTAGAAACTTATTTTACAGATGGGGAAACAAACACACAGAGCAGTTAAGTCACTTGCCCATGCTCACAATGCTCACACAAGCTTGGAGGTGGCCGAATCAGAACTGAACACGGGCTGTCTTGCTCCAGACTCTGTGACCTTAACCCCTATAGACTAATGTCTCCTCCGTCGAACAGAAAAATTATTTCAGAACTTGTAACACTCTGTGCATGGGTGCAGGGACCACAACAGTCTCACATTTATGTGTCTCCACCACCTATGCACAGTTAGGCGCTCAATACACCTTTCCGCAAGTCTCGTGCCCAGAGAGGGGAAGTGGGCTATGCTGTGTCTCAGTCCCCACATCTCCCCCCTGGGCCCCTCTGATGCCACCCCTTCCCACAGAACGTGGTGCAGCGCGTAGTGGCTCTGCCACTGGTCAGGGCCACGTGCACTGCGGTCTTTGACGCTTACAGTGCGGCCAAGGACAGGCACCCGCTGCTGGGCTCTGCCTGCCGCGTGGCTGAGCAGTGCGTGAACAGCCTGACCACCCGTGCCCTGGACCATGCCCAGCCTCTGCTCGACCACCTGCAGCCCCAATGTGAGTCCTCCTGGCCCAGTCCCTGGGATCTGTGGGTTGCCCCACTGCCCCGGCCCCCCTTGGTCCATCTGCATGACATGCCCAGGGGTCATCCACCTGCCTGTACCCCCATCAGTCTGTCCACCTGTCCCATCTCCTTTTCTGTTCTCTACCTGTTCCACCCCCTAGTCAGCCCCCATCCCACCTCCCCTCAATCTTGTTCACTTACGCTTTAATCTGCTTGCTTGGCCTTCTGCCCTTTCCTGTTCATTCCTGGTCTCCCCTCCTCTCTGTCCCCATTTGCACATTTGGTCTGCCTCTCTGTTGTCCTCCCTCATTCCTTGGCCTGACATGCCTTGAGTCCATCTGTCTGTCCAACCTCCCACCTCTCTGTCCCTGCCTCCACTTGTCCTGAGCCCCGCAGTCTGAGCCCCACATTTCTCAAATCTCCATGGACCCCTGTGACCAGCTCAGAGGTCCAATCTTGCTGGGGTGAGAGGCAGGGGGCAGGAAGAAGGTCACCTGAGTGTCCCAGCCCAGGGTCCCCCCTACCCCCTTCCCAGCCAACACCAGTGACCTTGAGCTTGCTACTGGACATCTGAGCTGGGAGTCACCTTGGGCTGGGAGCAGCCAGGTGGCTGGGTCCTGCCTGGTGGCCCACTCACACCCTCAGGGCCCCTAGATTCTCCCAGAGTCAGCCACTTGCTGGGAGGCCCCCAGGTCTCCCTGTGGTCCAGGTCTCCCTCTTCCAGAGTCTCTATCCAAGAGCTCTGGGTGTCCGTCCCAGCCTCTTTGTGGCTACTCTAGATTCACACAGGCTTAAGGTCTTAGGAGGCCTTCACGCCTCTGTGGACAAATCTGTCTGTCTCCTGAATGCGGGTCTTTTCCTGGAGGGAGAGGAGGATCCATCTGAATCCTTGACCTTGGTGTTTTCAATGCCGCCCTCTAACCGACTGAGCAGCCGGCCAGCCTCCTTTCTGTTTTGTCTCTCCCTGTCTTTTTCTGTCTCTCCTGAACTTTTCCCTCCCTCTCTGTCTCTGTCTCCTTCTCTCTTTCTCTGCCTCTCCCTCTATTACTCCCTCCCTCTATGTCTCTCTCTGTGTCCCTATTTCCCTCTGCATCTCCCTGAGTCTCACTCCCCACCTCTCTCTCTTCAGTGGCTACAGTGAACAATCTGGCCTGCAGGGGCCTGGATAAGCTGGAGGAGAAGCTGCCCTTTCTCCAGCAACCTTCAGAGACGGTACCCAGGATGACCAGACCGTGGGAACTCCAGGGGGGTGGGCCAAAAGAGATGGGAGGGAGGGATGGTGCTGGCTGGACTCTGGGGCAGAGGCAGGCTTTTGTTAATAATCAGCATGGGGCTGGCTGGTTAGCTCAGTTGGTTAGAGCACCACCATGTAACACCAAGGTCAAGGGTTCAGATCCCCATACCAGCCAGCAACCCCGAAAAAGAAAAAAGAATAAATAATTTGCACCAACATATATCATGCCAGTAGGTGCTGGTAACCCCCTCAACAACCCCTGCAGGGGAAGGATTTTATTATCCCCTATTTTACAGAGGGGAAACTGAAGCACAGAACCAGGAAGGGTTCCAGGGGTCTTTGAGTGCCAGCCCCAGAAAACTGGGGTGGGGAGAACAAAGCTGGAGGCCTGCAGCACCTGGAATGGGGGCCCCTCCTGCCAGGTGGTCACCTCGGCCAAAGATGCGGTAGCCAGCGGTGTCACAGGCCTGGCACGGCGGGGCCGGCGCTGGAGCGTGGAGCTGAAGCGCTCTGTGAGCCATGCTGTGGACGTTGTACTGGGCAAGTCCGAGGAGCTGGTGGACCACTTCCTGCCTATGACGGAGGAGGAGCTTGGTGAGGCCAGCACTCTCCTCTCCCCAGCCCCCCCGAATCTTCCTGCCCTATCACCACCCACATGGTACAGATCAGAGAGGTCCCCATGGTACAGATCAGAGAGGTCTGGGACTTGCCCAAGGCCACACAGCAGATCGGCAACAAATATGGAGGTCAAATGCAAGCCTGACTTCTCGGTTGACTTCCACAGCCCCCCAACCCACATCCCACAAGGAACGAGACCACTCAGACCCCAAGGGCATGAAGGGTTTATTGACTTGAGGACAGAGATCTTAAACTGGTGGCCCTCCAAACTGCATAATTTGGCCTGTGCAATGCCTTTTAAATGTTTTAATTCACTTTATGCATCTAGCAATCAGATTTTGTGCTACAAATCCTGATTTCTGGCTTGTCTTGTAAAACGACACAGGCTGAATAGCGTCCGCCTCTTTAGACGGTTCCCTTAACCCCACCATTTCCCAATGTTTCACGTTTTGTCTGCTTCGACTTTTTTTTTTTTTTTTTTTTTGGACAGACCCCAAACCCTATAAGCACAGATTGAGCGCCAGCTGAGTACCTGGTCCCCTGCATGTCTGAGGGAGGAGGCAGAGCCGGGCTCAGTCACCTCCAGCCACGTGTGTGTTCAAGGAGCCCGGGGAGTCAGGGAGGGGTTTTGTGGATGAGAGGAGGTGGGAGTTGGAACTTACAGACAGGAGATGTCAGAAGAAAGAGAACGTGCCCTTTTCCCTGCCTTGCCACCCGTCCGAATCCTCCCTCCTCTCAGCTACCAGCTCACATCCAGCTCCATCCCCCACTGTCCAGTACTCTCTGCTGCAAAGGAAAATAACAGCTCTTGTTTCCTGCTGTACCGTACATCCGCCTTATACCTGCCTGGCCCTGGAGACAATTTGGCTTTTCAACCCCTGCTTTATAACACTAGAAGAATGTGTCGATTTAACCCCCTCCTTGGCAGAAAGGCAGTGAGGCATTTTAAGCACCTACTGTGTGCCAGATGCTCGTGATACATTCTTTAAGGGGCTGTGTAATAGAATGGGTAAGTAAAGTATACTCTAGAGCCAGCATGCCTGGGCTCAAATCCCAAGTCTATGTCTTGCAGACTGTGGGACTTTACCTCTCTTTTCCTCAGTTTTCCTCATGTGTAAAATGGGGCCAATAATAGTGCCTACATCTTAGGGTTTGGGGACAATTAAATGGATTGATGTTAGTAAAAGGAAACTATAAACTTGGGAGTCTGTGGGCTGGTCTACCTAGAAGGTGTGTTGGGCATTTGTGGAAGGGGGTGGCCACACTAAAGCCCCTCCCCTGTCCTGTCCTCCAGCGGCGCTGGCAGCTGAGGCTGAAGGCCCGGAAGTGGGCTCGGTGGAGGATCAGAGGAGACAACAGGGCTACTTCGTGCGTCTGGGCTCCCTGTCCGCGCGGATCCGCCATCTGGCCTATGAGCACTCTTTGGGGAAACTGAGGCAGAGCAAACACCGTGCCCAGGACACACTGGCCCAGCTGCAGGAGACGTTAGAGCTGGTGAGAGTTCTCTGCTCGCCCCTGCTCATGAGCCAGACCAATAAGCACAGATTGAGCGCCAGCTGAGTACCTGGTCCCCTGCATGTCTGAGGGAGGAGGCAGAGCCGGGCTCAGTCACCTCCAGCCACGTGTGTGTTCAAGGAGCCCGGGGAGTCAGGGAGGGGTTTTGTGGATGAGAGGAGGTGGGAGTTGGAACTTACAGACAGGAGATGTCAGAAGAAAGAGAACGTGCCCTTTTCCCTGCCTTGCCACCCGTCCGAATCCTCCCTCCTCTCAGCTACCAGCTCACATCCAGCTCCATCCCCCACTGTCCAGTACTCTCTGCTGCAAAGGAAAATAACAGCTCTTGTTTCCTGAGCTTAATGAGGTCAGACACCCCCAAACCTGCTCCTCCCACATTCCCTGCCCCAACTTAGCTGACGACAGCTCCGTCCCTCCAGGGGTTCAGGCCGCAACCTGGGAGGAACCCTCCCCACTGACATCCAATACAGCGGCCATTCTGTCTGCTCTGCCTTCAAAGTCTATCCCAAATTCACCCACTTCTCACCCCCACTATGGCCACCACGCTGGTCCAGCCCCTATTATTACTCACCTGGACCCCCAGCTTCCACCTCGCACCCCCAGTCTGTCCTCCCTGCAGCAGCCACTGGAGGGCGCCCATGAGCACCTGAGTCAGGTCCCGTCCCTCCTCTGCCTGCAGCCCTCCATGGCTCCCACCTCCCCGGAGGTAGAAGCCCAAGTCCTCCTGCAGCCCACCAGGCCCTGCACGACCTGCCCCATCCCCTCCCTGCCCTCCCATCCTCCCTCTCTCCGCTCCATGTTCCTGCAGCATGTGGCACACTGTCCTGCCTCGGGGCCTTTGCACATGCTGTTCCCCCTGCCTGGAACACTTTATTCTCCTTCTTATCACAGCTTGCTTCTGCTTCTGGAAAACCATGGGATCTGCTCCTTCATTTACTCGTTTATTGCCTCTGCCCCTCCAGACTGATAATTCTGGGAGGGCAGGGATCTACTCTGCTCTATCAACAAACGTTTGTTGTGCCGGGCTCTGTTCCAGGTACTGGCTGGCTTGTTCACCACCCTACCCCCAGCACCTGGCAGAGCACCCACCACGCAGTAATGGCTCAATAAATGCTCATTCAGTGAATACATCAAGAGCCCAGCGGGTACCCAGCACTGTGTCTGTGTTTTACACGATACAGGTGTAGTAGGTTCTTGCACCAACGCTGTGTTTTCTAATAACCACTTTTTGTGGTAAAATGTACTTAATGGGGCTGGCCGCTTAGCTCAGTTGGTTAGAGCATGGTATTATAACACCAAGGTCAAGGGTTCGGATCCCCATACCAACCAGCCACCAAAATACATATACATATATGTATTTTGGTTATGTTTTATATATATATATATATAAACATAAGATTGACCATTTTAGCCATTTTTAAGTGTATGACTCACTGTCATTAAGAACATGCACACTGTTGTGTAACCATCACCATTACCTATTTCCAGAACTTTCCCATTACCGCAAACAGAACCTCTGTTCTCGTTAAGCAATCATTCCCCCTTCCCCTTTCCTCCTGGCCCCTGGTAACCTCTATTCTACTTCTGTCTCTAAATCCGATCACTCTAGGTCCCTCCCATGAGCAGAATCACACAGTATTTGTCCTTGTGTGACTGGCTTATGTCACTGAGCACAATGTCCTCAAGGTTCATCCATGTTTTAGCACGTGTCAGAATCTCCTTCCTTTTCATGGCTGAGTCATATTCCACGACATGTATCTACCACAGTTTATTCCCATTCATCTTTTCTTTTTTTTGGTGGCTGGCCGGTACAGGGACCTGAACCCTTGACCTTGGTGTTATAATACTGTGCTCTAACCAGCCAGCCCTCCATCCGTCTTTTAATATGCACTTTTTACAGATGTGGGGACCACACCCACAGCTGGGACTCATTTATTTCAATGGGCGCCCACTAGCGAAGGCCCTGACCTGGGCACTGAAGGCACAGACAGCCCTCTCAGCCCACTAGGGGTGTCAGGCCCAGATGAGGGTCTGCCCAGCCAGGAGGGGAGGGAGAGCTTCTGAAGGGGATGACATCCAGATTGAGACATGAATTGGAGTGAGCCAGGCAGGGGGATGGGGTGGAGGGGAGAGTGTACCTGGTGGGGGGACCAGCTTGGACAAAGGCCCAGCAGTGAAATTCAGGGGAACCATAGGTCTTGGGGGTTGGTCGAGGACAGAGCAGAGAAGGGGCAGTTTGGCCGGGCTGGATCAGTAGGCAAGGAAGGTTGCATACAGGAGGTGCTCACTACATGCTTACTGAGGCCAGATGCAGGGAAGGATTGGTCCTGAATCTACCCCACTCCCAAATCCTCCAGCCCTGACTACCACTGTCCCTGTCCTTGCAGATTGACCTCATGCAGACTGGGGTGACCCCCATCATCCCAGCCCGCCCCGGGAAGGTGCACGAGCTGTGGGAGGACTGGAGCCAGCAACCCTGGGAGAATGGCCGCAGACGGAGCCAGGTGAGGTGGTGGCCATTTCCAGGCACTATAGGGAGATGTACAGTGAGGAGTTCCAGATCAGCCAGGGGCTGGGTTCAAGGTGTCTCCAATCAAATGCTGAGTTCAGCTGGTTGGGGTGTCCATGGGGAAACAGAGGCAAAGCGACAGTCCCGTTGTGGGTCCACTGGAGAAAATGAAGCAGGTCAGTGGCTCTGCATGTGTGTAGGGGTGAAACAGGCAGGGCCACAGTCCCATCAGGTGTCCATCGGGGAAACTAAGGCACATTGATGCCCCATTGTGTGTCCATGGCAGCAATTGAGGCAGGTTCGTGGGTCCATGTATATCCATGGAGGAAAATGAGGTAGGGTGATGGACATGTTGACTGTCCATTGGGGAACTGAGGTCCCTGCACCCCTCCCCCACAGGCGGAGCTGGAGACGCTGATGCTGTCCCGCAGCCTGACCCGGGAGCTGCAGGGCACGGTGGACGCACTGGAGACCAGCGTGCGGGGCCTGCCTCCCGGCGCACAGGAGAAGGTGGCCGAGGTGCGGCGCAGCGTGCATGCCCTGCAAGCCGCCTTCGCCAATGCCCGCTGCTTCAGGGACGTGCCAGCAGCCGCGCTGGCCGAGGGCCGAGGCCGTGTGGCCCGGGCCCACGCCAGCGTGGACGAGCTGCTGGAGCTCGTGGTGCAGGCTGTGCCACTGCCCTGGCTCGTCGGGCCCTTCGCACCCATCCTTGTGGAGAGGGCCGAGCCCCTGCCTGACCTGGAATCCCTGGTGGATGAGGTGGTTGGGAGCCCCGACCCTCGCTGGGCACACATGGACTGGCCTGCCCAGCAGAGGGCCTGGCAGGCCCAACATGGGGATGGGACGGGCCTCCCCGGGGACATTCGCGAGGAGGAGCTGGAGCCCCCCAGCCACCCAGACAAGCACACCCTGATGCCCGAGCTGGACTTCTGACCCAAAGGTTGCCAGTGGACGGACAGGCAGGGGGATGGCCACCCTGCATGCTGAGGTTGCCGCTGCCCCCTGGTGGCCATGCTTGTCCTTGACACTGAGTTGCGGAGAGGGGGCTGAACTCAGGATCCTTGGCCATCTTTGCTCCTATGGGACCCTCCCCTCTTTTCCTTGGACATTTGGGAACATGAGGCCCGGAGAGGAGCGGGGACTAAGACCCAACTCAGGTCTAACTTTAGCCACGAGCTGGGTTCTTTGTCTGTCTGTGGTCCCATTCCCCTCCACCACCAAGAAGCTTATCAAAACTCCCCAGAAAAACATACTTTTTGCCCAATGGCTTCAATTTGGGGCTTTGAAAAGTGAGGCCCCATCCTCCCCCAGCTTGGATATTCTTGACTGAGGGGTCCCCCAAAGATGCCTGGCCATGTCCCTCCACCTGCCAGACCCACTTGCTTTGCTGTTTGGGGTTTGCTCTCCAGAATAAAGGTGCTTAGTGTTGTCTGAAGGCCCATGCCTCTGTTCCAGTTGGAATGGGTCTCAGTCCTAGGGGCCTCAGAGGTGTGTGACTGCGGGGACATGGAGAAGGGGATTTCAAGCCAGAGTTCTTGATCTGGAAGGAATGACACTCCCCTGATCCTCTGGTCATCCTGTCTGGAATTCCATCACTAGAGCCCAGCCCACCTGGGGTAAGCCCTGTCCCCTCAAGTGCACTACCCAGAACGGCAACTTTTATCATCTTAATATAAGTGGATTTCTTAGAAACTGCAGGGAACAGGACAGGGGAGGGCAGAAGTCAGACGGAGCAGCCCCTCCTCTCCCCATCTCCCCAGACCTGCAGGAGCTGGTCTTGCCATGATTTCCCCAGCTGCACTGGCAGAAGCGGAGAAGACAGAGGCAGGGCAAGGGTCAGGGGCTGGTCTCGTGGGGGCCCTCCTGTCCTCTGACCACATTCCTGGCTGCTCCTTGGACTCCTTTAAGGCTGGGTGGGTGGTTGGGAAACCACCCTCTGGTGCAGTGAGGTCAGGGTGGCCCCTGGCTTCCCTGGAACTCGGTCCAGAGGGTGGCTCTGGGAGCTCCAACCACTTCCCATCAGCCAGATTCACCTCCCTGCCCCTGCTCCAGAACCTCCATAGCTCCCTTTCGCCCTCAGACCAAACATCCAAGCTCTTCAGCTTCCGGCTTTACCCTCTGCCCTACACGGATACTCTGGTCCATTTCTCCTGAATTGTGCACATTCTCCTGGGCCTTTGCTCAGGCTGTGCCCATTGCCTGGAATGCCCTTCCCACCTCCCCACCCATCTCCTGAACACATCTTGTCCATCCTCAAGGCCCAGCCCCAATGTCTCCTCCTCCAGGAAGCCTTCCCGGACTCTACCCCAGTGGGAGAGCTCTCCCCTCCAACCCTCCAGAGCCCACCTTATCAGGGCTCCAAACCCTTTCCACCTTGACTTACAGCTACTCGAAAGCTTGTCTTCTCTTCCCACCCAAGGCTGGTGGCTCCCAGAGGGCCAGGCCTGGCAAGGATGGGCAGAACGGGGTGGGGAAGGGCATTTTGGCAGAGACACAGCCCAGGTAAAGGCACGGCATTGGGGAAATCAGTTTGGAACAGAGGGGAGAGAAAGAGAAGTGTTGAGATACTGGGATCAGAGAAGGGTTGGGTTACTGGGGGAAAGCAGTGAAGACACTGGGGTGTGGGCCCAGCCTTGCCAACAACTGGGCGGGAAAGGACTTTCCCTCTCCGAACTCCAGCTTTCTCCTCTGTGAAATGGGCATGAAAGCACAAAGGCAGTTGTGCCGAATCCCGGTAAACGTCTCACCCATGGAAGCTATTATTCACTCATTCATTTGCTCATCCAACAATTATTTACTGAGCGCCTGCTGTGTGCCAGGCAGTTCTCTACCCTGAGGAAGCAGCAGTGAGTAAACATCCTGCCCTCTACGGAGTTCCCAGTGCAGTAGGGGAGATGACAATAAACAAAAAAAAAAGAAGTAAATTACTTATTTTAGTGTTAGTAGATGATGAGAAAAATAAAAGGGAAGGGGATGGGGAGCCTGTGGGGATACAGGGAAGGGTGTTCCAGGCAGGGGGAATAGCATGTGCAAAGGTCCTGAGGCAGGACTGAGCCTGACGTGTGGGAGGAACAGCAAGGAGGCCCGTGTGGCTGGAGCAGAGTGAGCGGGGAGGAGAGGAAGGCAGGGAAGGGACGGGGCAGGTTGTGCAGAGCCTTGTGGGCCTTGGGCTTTTACCCCAAGGCAGGTGGGAGCCATGGAGGGCTGTGGGTGGAGGAGGAATGTGCCCTGACTGGAGAGTTTAAGATATTTCTGTTTTGGGCTGCTTTCTCCCCATCCCCACTGGGGGGTGGCTGCCTTGGGGGGAAGAGGAGGGACACACCCAGAATTTTTCTTGCTACCCTTGGGATGCATTGGCTGGGAGGAAACAGACTGGGGGACACCCCCCTGTTCTGTTCCCAAACTGTTTAGCCAACACAGTGACAGCTCCAAGGAAACAGCCTGGGTGTCATCAGGCACAGTAGCTGGATGTACCCTTCCTCCTCCCACCTCAGTGCCCAGAGCCACTAATTGGGTCTGCTCCCTCACCCAGCACGTGGCTAGGATCCCTGTCCCAGGGGCAGGTGGGAGGACACAGCCCAGGGAGGGTGTGGCCGTCATTCTTCTGGTTATCCATCCATCCACAGACAGCCCACTTGGCATGCAGTCTCCAAGTTTGGATTTGAATCCTGTCTACAACTTCCTGGCTATGCGGCCTCAGGCACAAGACACCTCCTCTAGGGAGCCTTCCTAGGTTGGTCCAAGCCCAGTAGGCCAGCTTCTCACTTCTAGGGAGCCCCCAGCCCTGATGGTACTCCATCTTTGTCCACATTTTGGCTCAGGTACCTTCTGGAGAGTGGCTCATCCCTTTCCTGCTTGGGACACCCCCATTCCTCTTAGAGACCCCGTTTCTGCCTGGGCAAGGCTAAGCTAATGTCTGTTGAGCAGCTGCTGGTGCCAGGCACTGGGGTAGATAGGTCACATACGCAGCCTTGTTTCAGGCTCACAAACACCCTATGGGTTGGCCCATTTAGCCAAACATTTATTAGGCACCAAAATGTGTGCCAGGCACTGTTCTAAGTACACGAGACACAGCAAGGAACGAAACAGGCCTGACAGAGGTTAGGGACACGGGGAGCCATGTGGGTGTTTGGGGGAAGGGTGCTCCAAACTAACAGAGGGAACAGCCCCTACAAAGACCCTGGGGCAGGACCGAGCCTGGCATGTTGGAGGAACAACAATGAGACCTGTGTGGCTGGGGCAGAGTGAACAAGATGAGAGGGAGGAGTGAGGGAGAGGGGGGAGGGGAGGGCATGAAGGGGACAGGGCAAGACATACAGGACTTTATGGGCCATGGTGAGGAGTCTGGAAGGGGAAATTGAGGCACAAAGATGGTAACTGGCCAAGGCGTCCAACCAGAGTAGGGATTCCAACTGTACCCATCTCATGGATGAAAACCGAAGGCAGAGGGCATGGAGACAGTGCCTCAGGGCCCAGGAGGGGAGCCCAGCTGGCCCATGAGTCACTTGGCCTGGTGCGGACAGATGCCGTGGGCAGAGGTGGCCCAGTGCTGAGAGCGGGGGAAAGGTGCTGGGCCTGGGGCCCACGCTGGGCCGGGCAGGCAGGCACATGACAGCCCAGGCCCCCCCAGCCTCACTGGCCGCCTGCCTCTGCCGGCTGGGCCTGCGCCTGACCCAGACCCTATAAGGCCTGGGAGCCGAGAGCAAAGCCAGCTGCCAGCTGAGCTGGCCGTTGCTCCGAGGGACTCTGCAGTCCAGGTGAGCAGGGCTGTTTGTGCCCCTGGTGACGCCAAGAATCCAGGTGGGTGTTGGGGGGATGGGTGTGGAGCAGGAGGCTGGGGACCTCTCCTATTCATGCATCTTCTCTGACCCCTTCCAGCTGCTTAGACTAGCACCATGTCTGCTCAGGATGAAGGGAGCCGGGATCCCCCCAAAACCAAGGGCAAGGTAAAGAGAGGGGAAAGAAGGGCTGATTCCTGCTAGGGCCTAGAGACCCCTCAGAGCCTTGGGAAGGTGACCTCCCCAGTCCTGGCATCTGGAGAGGTGCTTCCCTGCTGGGGTGCGAGGGCTCTGAGAACCATGATGCCACCTCTTCCCTTCTGTCCCAAGCCAGGGGTGGGGGGGCTCATGCAGACCTCAGCCCCTACCCCACTGTGTGACCTTGGGCCAGCAATGGCCCCCCTTCTTAGCCTCAGTTTCCCCATCTGTGCAATGGAGACTGTGGAAGGAAAAGGTCTTTGGAGACCTGGTGGATGATCTCCTCCTCTGTCCATGGGAGGCAGGTTGAATCTGCCCATTGCCCAGGTGAGGAAACTGAGGCTGAGTGGCTAGGACACTTTCCCGAGGTCACCCAGGATTGAGGGGCCGGGGTGGTATCGGACTGAGCAATGCTTCCCTCTCACCCCGTCCCTGCCATGGCCTGGTCTTGCTCACATTGCCCCCTACGCCATGCAGACCCTGGGCAGGTTTTTGGGGTCTCTGCCTGGCTTCAGTTCTGCCCGGAACCTAGTGGCCAACGCTCACAGCTCAGCGAGAGAAAACCGGCCAGCTGCCAGCCCTGCAGGGGCTCCCACCCCCGAGGCTGCCCAGGGTGAGTGGACAACCCAACAGTGGGGGGACTCTGAGGGTGAACCCCGGGAAAAGGAAATCCCCTAGCAGGAACTTCAGGTCACTTTGGGAGCACTTCCTATATGCCTGTATTGTCTGACTACACACTACGCGGCTGGCATGCTCATTTAGCGCCAGATGGGGAAACTGAAGCATGAATACAGGGTTGCCCAGGTGGCTTCACCAGCAAAAGCTGGGGTTGGAACCCAGCCTATTGCAGTCCTGCCCCTGCCCCCACCACCTTGCTGCTGATGCATGGTGGACCAGGCCGGTGCTTTGCATGTCTGAGCTCACCAGAGACTGAGATCCCATCTCCCAGAGAGGGGCGGTGGCTTCCCTGGGGTCACACAGCCTGGGAGACTCCCCAGCCTCCAATGGTTCAGCTGGGGTGCCTTGGGCAGGCTCGGGGCACACAGAGGAGCCACTGCAGGGAGCCCAGGGCTGGTGTAGCCCCCGTAGCTAGGCCTCTCTCTGGGCCCAGAGCCCCAGGCAGCTGACTCCTGCTCCACATACCTTGGCAACAGGCTGCCCGCAGCTGTGTGGGGGCGGGGCAGGGTGGGGCAGGAGCTGCTCCCACCCACCCACCCACCCCAGGCTATGTGGACCCTGGAACTTAGAGTAGGTGGCCAACACCCAGCAGAGAAAATGCCACAGAGCCCTGCTCCAGGGGACGGTGGCCTTGCGAGTCCAGGGAGCCCCCGGTGGGATTGGTGGTTGAGCCTGGCCAGTGGCTGTGGATGTCACCTCCTGCTGTCCCTGGCGGGGTGACTGGGACATTCCTGACCTTTCAGACTGTGCCTGGCGATTGTGCAATGGGCACCATTGTGGCTGATCCCATCCATGTCCCTCACCCTCCCTGCCCAGCCCCTGTCCCCACAGAGGCCACCGATCCAGAGCAGACAGCCAAGGGAATGGAAAAGCCACTGCAACCTTCAGAAAAGGTGAGAAGGGCCTGTGGAGCCTGGTCCGATGGCCTCTGCCTCTCAACTGGCAGCAGAAACCCTCGGGGTGCCCCTCCTGAAATGTCTCAGTTCCCAGCATCTGGGGGGAGGGGTTGTTGTAGGCCAAAGACAGGCAGACACCCCTGTGGTGTGTCAGGCTCTATGCTAAGCACTGTTAACAGTTAATCCTCCCAACCTCCCCACAAGGAAGAGCGCAGTAATACCCCCCATGACAGTAGAAGCACAGAGAAGCTGAGTCACCTGCCAAAAGCCACACAGCAAAAAGTGGTAGTGTGGGGTTTCAACCTTGAACAGATGCTGAACCACGGACCTATGCTGCATCCGCCCTCAATCCTAGATAAATGGGGGGCACTGGCATTGTTATTGTCTCCAAGGCCCAGTCAAAAGAAGTAACTAGTCTATGATGACTGAAGGCCACAGCAGGGGGGCAAAGCCCTGGTTCTTCCACCCAGCACACACCCCGACTCTGGAGTCTTTTGTGACTCCCCTCTGCTCTCACTGCAGCCAGATCAGAGGCTCTCAGAGGGCAAAGCACTGTGGGGCTCACCCTCTGCAGGCCCGTCTGGCCTAAATCAAAACATACCCCTGGAAGCTGAGGCCACACCCCCTTTTACACTTGCCCCCCCCCAACTAGTATTAATTGAGTACCTACTATGCACACAGTGCTTCAGACATCTCAACTCATTTCCTGCACCACCCTTGAAGAAGGTGCCTTTTTAGTCACCCTTTTTCAGATGAGGATACAGGCTCAGAGAGGGGATGTGGCTTGCCTAAGGTCACACAGCAAATGCAGGAAAGAGCTGGGATTCAAACCTGGTTCTCTCCAGCTGCAGAGACCAAGGTGCCCACTTGAGTCAACTTTGGGCAGGAGCCAGGTGTGAGAATACAAAGGGTCTTCAAAAAGTTCATGGAAAGGGCCGGCCCGTGGCTCACTTGGGAGAGTGCGGTGCTGATAACACCAAGGCCACGGGTTCGGATCCTATATAGGGATGGCTGGTTCGCTCACTGGGTGAGCGTGGTGCTGACAACACCAAATCAAGGGTTAAGATCCCCTTACCGGTCATCTTTTTAAAAAAAAAAAAAGTTCATGGAAAGATTCACATTACCTTTTAATTCTATTTTTCCATGAACTTTTTGAGGTATCATTGTATAATTTCAGGGCTTCTCAACCTCAGTACTATAGACTTGTAGCCAGATCCTTCTCTGTGGTGGGGCCATGCTAAGCTCTGCAGGGGTTGAACAATATCCCCGACCCCCACCCACTCCAGGCCAGGAGCACCCCCAAGTCGTGACAACCACAAATGTCCCCAGAGAGCTACCAGTGTCCCCTGGGTGGGGTGAAGGATCAACTCAGTTGAGAACCACTGGATTAAAAACAGCACACTCATGGTTACACCTGAGTGTTGGTAACTCCCAGGCCATCACCAGCTTTCTTTAGTGTGGTGAAACTAGAGAAAAATGCCCTTTGGTAGGCCAAAACTGGTTAAAGATCCTATGGTTCAAACCTAATGTCTGTATTTTTCTGGTTATTACTTTTCTAAACCTTGATTCATTTCTTTTATTTGAATACTTTATTTACTTTATTTTATTTTTTTAAAGATGACCGGTAAGGCTGGGCTGGCCCGTGGCTCACGCGGGAGAGTGCGGTGCTGATAACACCAAGGCCCCGGGTTCGGATCCCATATAGGGATGGCCGGTTCGCTTACTGGCTGAGTGTGGTGCTGACAACACCAAGTCAAGGGTTAAGATCCCCTTACCGGTCATCTTTTAAAAAAAAAAAAAAAGATGACCGATAAGGGGATCTTAACCCTTGACTTGGTATTGTCAGCACCACACTCTCCCAGTGAGCAAACCGGTCATCCCTATGTAGGGATCCAAACCTGCGGCCTTGGTGTTACCAGCACCTCACTCTCCCGAGTGAGCCACGGGCCAGCCCTTACTTGAATACTTTAATAAACAGCACCGACCAGCTGCCAAAAAAAAAAAAGTTTACTAAACAATTTGTTCTCCTTAAAGTCTCTAGGAAACCAGGCTCAATATTTGCCATAAATAGAGAATAGGCAAGATGAACAAAAACCTGTAATTCCAAGACTTGACCTTGAGGCCTTGGGACGGATTCAAGAGTTGTCAGGGACCTGCAGTCAGTCATCCAAGGGGTCTTGACTGAGTTGGGGGCTGGAGCGAGTCGGAAAGGAACCACCTGGCATTCCGTAATGCAGAGCTTGTGAAGGCCGTGTCCCGGAGCGCCAGGCTGGCAGCCCAGGTGATGAAAGTACCAGGGAGAAGTACTTCCGGGGGAGAGGTGTAGAGGAGGCAGCTTGGTTTTCAGGGAGGCTGCAGTCCCTCCCCCCAAGGCACATCAGGGAGTTGGGATAGCTGAACCTGGTGGGGAGGGTGCCTCCTGGTTCTTCTCTTGCCTGCCCGTGTCCTTTCTCATCAGATGGGGTCGGGGGCCAAAGACCTGCCATACTCTAAGATGTCTAGGACCAAGGACGCCATCTCCTCCGGGGTGACCAATGTTGTGGATGTGACTAAGGGAGTGGTCCAGGAAGGCCTGGGCACCACCCAATCTGCACTCAAGGGCACCAAGGTGGTGGTGTCCAGTGGGGTCACCGCGGCAGTGGGTGTGGCCAAAGGGGTAGTCCAAGGGGGTCTGGACACCTCCAAGGATGTCATCACCAGCACCAAGGATGCACTGTCTACTGGGCTCACGGGGGCAGTGAACTTGGCCAAAGGAACTGTCCAGACTGGCGTGGACACCACCAAGACCATCCTAACTGGTACCAAGGACACTGTCTGTGGTGGGGTGACAGGTGCCATGAACACGGCCAAAGGGGCTGTCAAGGGGGGACTAGATACCACCAAGTCTGTGGTCATGGGCACCAAAGACACACTGTCCACTGGGCTCACTGGGGCAGTGAACGTGGCCAAAGGAACAATCCAGACTGGCGTGGACACCACCAAAACTGTCCTAACTGGTACCAAGGACACAGTATCCACTGGGGTGACCAGTGCTATGAATGTGGCCAAAGGAGCTGTCCAGACCGGCATGGACACCACCAAGACTGTACTAACTGGTACCAAGGACACTGTGTGTGGTGGGGTGACCGGTGCCATGAACGTGACCAAAGGGGTGATCAAGGGGGGACTGGACACCACCAAGTCTGTGGTCATGGGCACCAAAGACACACTGTCCACTGGGCTCACTGGGGCAGTGAACGCAGCCAAAGGAACTGTACAAACCGGTGCGGACACCACCAAGACTGTGCTGACCGGCACTAAGGATGCAGTGTCCACTGGGGTCACAGGTACAGTGAACTTGGCCAAAGGAACCATCCAGACTGGCTTAGACACCACTAAGACTGTGCTGACCGGCACCAAAGATGCAGTGTACACTGGAGTGACCGGTGCAATGAATGTGGCCAAAGGGGCTGTCCAGACTGGTGTGGGCACCACCAAGACTGTACTAACTGGTACCAAGGACACCGTGTGTGGTGGGGTGACTGGTGCCGTGAACGTGGCCAAAGGGGCCGTGCAGGGGGGCCTGGACACCACAAAGTCTGTGGTCATGGGCACCAAAGACACACTGTCTACTGGGATCACCGGGGCAGTGAACGTGGCCAAAGGAACAATCCAGACTGGTGTGGACACCACCAAAACCGTCCTAACTGGTACCAAGGACACTGTCTATGGTGGAGTGACCAGTGCTGTGAATGTAGCCAAAGGGGCCGTTCAGACCGGTGTGGACACCACCAAGACCGTGCTGACCGGCACCAAAGACGCAGTGTCCACTGGGGTGACTGGAGCAGTGAATTTGGCCAAAGGAAGTGTCCAGACTGGTTTAGACACCACCAAGACTGTGTTGACTGGCACCAAGAACACTGTCTGTACTGGGGTGACCAGTGCTGTAAATGTGGCCAAAGGGGCCGTCCAGGGGGGCCTGGACACCACGAAGTGTGTTGTCACTGGCACAAAAGACACTGTGTCCACTGGACTCATGGGGGCACTAAACGTGGCCAAAGGAACCGTCCAGACTGGCTTGGACACCACCAAGGCCGTGCTGACCGGCACTAAAGACACAGTGTCCAGTGGGCTCACTGGGGCAGTGAACTTGGCCAAAGGAACCGTCCAGACTGGTTTAGACACAACCAAGACTGTGTTGACCGGCTCCAAGAACACTGTCTGTGGCGGGGTGACCAGTGCCATGAACATAGCCAAAGGGGCCGTCCAGGGGGGCCTGGACACCACAAAATCTGTGGTCATGGGCACCAAAGACACAGTGTCCACTGGGGTCATGGGAGTAGTGAACTTGGCCAAAGGAACTGTCCAGACTGGCTTGGACACCACCAAGACCGTCGTGATTAGTACCAAGGACACGGTGTGTGGTGGGGTGACTGGTGCAACAAATATGGCCAAAGGGGCCGTCCAGACCAGTATGAACACCAACAAGACCGTGCTGACTGGCACCAAAGATGCAGTGTCTACTGGGTTCACTGGGGCAGTGAACTTGGCCAAAGGAACTGTCCAGACTGGCTTAGACACCACCAAGACCATCCTAACTGGTACCAAGGATACCGTCTGTACTGGGGTGACTGGTGCCACAAATATGGCCAAAGGGGCTGTCCAGGGGGGTCTGGACACCACAAAATCTGTTGTCACTGGCACAAAAGACACTGTGTCCACTGGGCTAATGGGGGCACTAAATGTGGCCAAAGGAACAGTCCAGACAGGCTTAGACACCAGCAAGACTGTACTGACTGGCACCAAGAACACCATGTGTGGTGGGGTGACCAGTGCCATGAATGTGGCCAAAGGAGCCGTCCAGACGGGTATGAACACCAGCAAGACAGTGCTGACTAGCACTAAAGACATAGTGTCCACTGGGCTCACTGGGGTAGTGAACTTGGCCAAAGGAACTGGCCAGACCAGCTTGGACACCACCAAGACAGTCCTAACTGGTACCAAGGACATCGTCTCTGGTGGAGTGACTGGTGCTGTGAATGTGGCCAAAGGGGCCATCCAGACCAGTATGGACACCACCAAGACTGTGCTGACCGGCACCAAAGACATGATGTCTACTGGGCTCACTGGAGCAGTGAATGTGGCCAAAGGGACCATCCAGGGGAGCCTGGATACCACAAAGTCTGTTGTCACTGGCACAAAAGACAACGTGTCCACTGGGCTCATGGGGGCACTAAATGTGGCCAAAGGAACCGTCCAGACTGGCTTGGACACCACCAAAACCATGCTGACTGGCACCAAAGATGCAGTGTCCAGTGGGCTCACTGGGACACTGAACTTGGCCAAAGGAACTGTCCAGACTGGGTTAGACACCACCAAGACAGTCCTAACTGGTACCAAGGACATCGTCTCTGGTGGGGTGACTGGTGCTGTGAATGTGGCCAAAGGGGCTGTCCAGGGGGGCCTGGACACCACAAAGTCTTTGGTCATAGGCACAAAAGACACACTGTCCACTGGCCTCACAGGGGCAGTGAATGTGGCCAGAGGAGCCGTGGAAACTGGACAAAATACGACCCAGGCTGTCCTGACCAGCACCAAAGACACAGTGTCCACTGGGCTCTCTGGAGCAAGAAGTGTGGCCACAGGGGCTGTCCACACTGGTCTTGACACCATCCGGAACTGGCTACCTGGTACCCAGGACACCCTCTGGGATGGATCCACCAGTTACAGGGCCCAGGACAAAAGAGATCACACTGCCCTGAGCCCCCAGGAGGCTCTGCCCCCTGGGGTCTCCTGCCCCCCAGACACACTCTGTGCAGGCCTAGAGCTCACCAGGGAAGCCACAGCTGCCACCAAGAGCCTTGAATCTGATGTGGCCACATTCACCCCAGGCTGGGAGGATACGGGGCACCCAGCTGCCACACACGGCCATGAAGGGGCTACAGGCTTTGCAACACTACGAGATGAGTTGGAGGGGCTGGGGGAGATCTTCTGCCCCATGAATGCTGAGGAGCAAGGTAAGGATGACATACCAGGGGAGGTCCCACCTCCAGCTGGGTGCCCCAGGGTGGGCACAGCTCCTGGGCGAGGGTAGTGCCTTGACTTTTGTAAACCCCAAGCCCAGATGCCCTGAGGGGCTTCTTGGATTGAATCACGCCATGCTGTTTGCAGCTCAGCTGGCTGCTGCCCAGCCCGGGCCAAAGGTGCTCTCGGCTGACCAAGGGAGCTTCTTCGTCCGTTTGGGTGACCTGGCCCCTGGCCTCCGCCAGCGGGCTTTTGAACATGCTGTGAGCCACCTGCAGCACCACCAGTTCCAAGCCAGGGATGCTCTGGCCCAGCTCCAGGACGCCTTCCAGATGGTAAGAGCTTCCTTCCCCCTCCCCACCCCTTCCCCAAGGCAGCTTTTATATTTTGGGGGGCAGCTGGCTGGTATGGGGAAGCAAATCCTTGACCTTGGTGTTAGAAGACTGTGTTCTAACCAACTGAGCTAACTGGCCAGCTCCCCAAAGGCAGCTTCTTAGAATACCTCCCTCAACTTGCCCATTCATGCTCAGAGATTCAATGCATATCAGCTGAGCATCTCAGAGATGCCTCCATTGGCCACTGAGATGGCCACAACTCTGCTCACGGGGCTCACGTCCCAGCAAGGGAGACAGACAGTGGGACCAGCTACTTACAACAGGGAATGTAGAGAAAACAAAACAATCCATGTGCAGAGGGAAGATCTGGGCTGGGCAGGGAGGCCGTCCCTCTGAACCTTGTTCTGACTGACGGGGAGAGCCATGCAAAGCCCAGGAGAAAGTGGGGACAGTGAGCACCCTGGAACAGGTTGGGTGTGTCAGAGCAGCAGAAATGTGGCAGTGTGGCTGTGGGGAAGTGAAGGTGGAAACTGGATCAGGAGAGCCACAGGGCCTGGGGTTGCAGTGCACGTAGGAAAGGACCCCATTGAAGGTGACTTGAATAGCATCTAGGGGACAGGCACCCTAGTTGGAGAAGACTTCCCCTCCCACTGTCCCCATTCTCTTTTTTCTTTTGGTGGATCCAAACCCTTGACTTTGGTCTTACACGGTGGCACTCTAACCAACTGGGTTAACTGGCCAGACCCCAAACTCTCTTCCTCTGGTCCAGGGTCTCTCCCCCTGGGCGCTGTAGACATTAGGGCTGGATCCTTCTCTGTGGTGGGGCCGTCCTGGGCACTGCAGAGTGCTGAGCAGCGTCCCGGGCCTCCACCCATCCCCTCCCCAGTCTCAAGGACAAAAAATGTCTCCAGACACTGCCACATGGACAGCTCTAAGATTCTCAACCTTGAGAGTGTATCAGAATTACCTGAAGGGCTGAGTTCCGCCCCCACCCCCGACCCCAGGTGCTGATGCTGCTGCGTGGTTAGTCCACATCCCAGGGGTCTGTGGCCAACTGCAAAGTTTGAGGCTCTAACCCAAGGGTTCTCAATATGGGGATGATTCTGCCCCCAGGGGACACTGGGCGTGTCTGGGGACATTTGTGGTTGTCATGACTGGGGGTGCTCCTGGCACAGAGTGAGTGGAGGCAGGGATGCTGCTCAGCACCTGCAGTGCCCAGGACGCCCCACCACAGAGAAGGATCCAGCCCCAAATATCCATAGTACTGAGGTCCTATAAAAGGCTGGTCACAAAGCGCTTTTCTGCCTCTAGAGCCTCAGCAAAGTTGACTGGGCAAGAATTCACCAGCAGCATTTTTCAGAAGGGAAAACTGAGGCCAAGAGAAGGGACAGAAAAAACTTGGCTACAAGGTCACACGGGATCATGTATTATTCATTCATTTGCTCATTTGTTCATTTAACAAGTATTTGTTGGATGCCTTGGGATGCCCTGAGAATAAAGTCCTCTCTTGAGGGGTGACACGGTAGTTGGGAGATACAGACAATTAAGAGAGAACATATGGTATGGTAAAGAACGTGTCAGGATAAGGCAGTGGGAGTTCTGGGGTGATCGCTGTGAAAAGGGGATGTTTGAGGTGAGATCTAAATGACAGAGTTAGATCTGGAGGAAGTGTGATCTGAGAAAGAAGGCACAGCATGTGCAAAGGTCCTGGGGCAGGATCGAGCCTGGCATGTGGGAGGAACAGCAAGGAGGCCTGTGAGGCTGAGCAGAGTGAGGGAGAGGGAGGGGGGGAGG